AGTCCGAATGTTACAGTTCTTTACGTATTTTATGTCATTTGTGGTATTTGACGATTAGGTTGCTTGTACTAACTATGCATCGTGCTGTGAATACACCATTATCAATGTCTTGTGATTCCATAAACAGCGGCTCCGGTGGACTTCCTAAATTAAAAAGTCTGAAAACTACGCATCTGGGTGGAATTATGCAGTTGTCGCTTTCAGTTCCGTGAAGAATCGGCATCGCGACTTTTTTGTTACCTTCCCAGAAGGAAATGCAATTGCTTGCAAAGCTGATAACGCATTTATTGTACTTTAAAAAGTCTTTACCCAATATACCGTCTGTAGGGATGTTAGACTCGTCATTAACCACATGTAACGTATGTTCTATAAAAAAGTCAGAAAAAGTCAAATTTGTCGTAATTTTACCCAGAGTTGAAACAGTGTTTGAAGTGACGCCAATCATGCGGATAATATCGTTCGTATCAATTGGAAAATATTTGTGAAAACTTGAAATTTTAATTAAAGAAATGTCGGCTTGCGTGTCGACCAAAAATGTACATAAATTATTAGACCCGGAAATTTGTAATTGAATTAAATCTGAATAATTTATGTTTAAGCAGTAGATGCCTTTTGTTACAGAAAAATCGTTTAGTTGTCTTACTCCTGCTCCCCCAGTGTTCGCTCCTGAGGGGCATGGGCGTTTAAAGCACGGACATTTGCATTCCTACTCCTACCATTTGCAGATCATGCATTATTATTCCTATTGGTGTTACTGTTGGAATTTAACCGTGACCCATTGCTGTTATGATGATTGCGGTTTCCGTTAGCGGATCGAAACCGTTGATTGTTATAACTATTGAAGTTATTATTATTATAATTATTAGAAGAAAATTACCTGTTGTTTCTATAACCACTAAAATTGCGAGTTGGGTTAGCCCCACGATAGCCACCACGTGAATTTCTAAATGTGGTATTACCACGCGATCGGAAAGTCAAAACCTGACGCTCCTTCACCTCATTATTCTGTTCTACGATTAGTTTTGCTACTACGTCTTTGGAATCTGAGAATTTTGTTGAAGCTAAGATTGATTTTACTAAGTCTGACCTGGCGTTTAACCGACACACGCTAACAGTTTGCTCAATCGCCATTTCGTGAGCCTTTTCTTGAGTTATTCCTTCTATTATTAATGAACGCTCAAGAGAATCTGATAATTCTTCAGCGCGTTTGGCAAAGTCAGAATAATTGTTGTTGTTAACGTGTAACGCCGCTATTTTCCCTGCGACAACTTTCGAGTTGTCAGGTTTAATTCTATTGCGTAGAGCAGATTTTATGTCACTAACGGAATTTATTTGTGTTGGTATGGCTTCGCGGGCTTTTCCCTCTAATTTGGATTTCAAAAAGGCAATTAATGTACTGGTCAAATTTTCTTCAGCTAAGTCCTCAATCAAGCTAATTTTATCTAAANCCTCTAATTTGGATTTCAAAAAGGCAATTAATGTACTGGTCAAATTTTCTTCAGCTAAGTCCTCAATCAAGC